TAGTCGTCGTAGTGGTGGTGGTGGTAAGGGCCACCCTATGACTGAACGTGCTTCGGATAGATTCGGATAGAGAACTTTGTTATCCATGCTTTAAAATGGTTGTTCCTGCTTGGTTTCGACTCCTCAGCTCCCGAGCAGAAATAGGATAGTTCTGGCCTCACTCAGTTCGGGCGAAGTGCTCGAGCTTGTAAGTTGTTTTCCCATTGTTCGTGCAAATATTGTCAAAGGTCCCACACCTTCGGGCATATTTCCAGCCATCTCCAGCAGCCTTCAGTGTAAACTTAGGGCCATGTAATGTTTTAGGACTGGTCGGCCAGAGCAGCGAAGCGCTTCAGGAATCCGCTTGGGGCCCCGAGCTCGCTTTGGGGACTGGGCGGCACCGACGCTTTCCGCAGGCACGCGGTGAAGGGCGGTTTCTTTGCAGTGTGTCGAGCCATGGCTGCCGTTCTGGGCCCGGGGCATGCGGCAAAGACGCAGAATGATATTCCTGCTAGACTCAGGGCGACCTCCCGCCTGTGCTTCTCTGTCTTTAATTACCTCTCCAACATGCGCCTCCCTCCCTCCCTCCCTCCCTCGCCCGCTCCCTCGCCCGCTCTCTCCCGCTCGCTCTCTCTCTCTCTCTCTCTCTCCCTCCCGCTCGCTCTCTCTCTCTCTCTCTGTCTGTCTCTCTGTCTCTCTCTCTCGCTCTCTCTCCTTCTCTCTCTTTCTCACTCTCTCACGCTCACACGTTGAACTCATTCGGGAGACTAAAAAGCGCAGGAAGCAAGCCTTCAACTGGGGATCCCAGGAACCCCAGTCCAACCAGCCTTGCCCGTTACATCCCATTCTGCCTATGAAAGGATCAACGAACCGAGCATTAAGCCTTCGAAGGCTCTGTGCTGCGCGGACCGCTCGCCCACACGGCTGAAGACAAAATGTTCCAAAACCGGCGCAGGATTGGGGCCTTTAAGGGCTGTCAGGTTCGATGAATGCATGGCTGAGGGGTATAGTTATAGAAGAGTCTGGAGAAATGTAGGTGTCAGGGAAGGGGAGGTGGGCTCTTCATGCCTTGCGTGCAAGACACTCTGCATGATAGGTCTTGGCATCACAAAAAGCTAACTAACAACTCCTGTTGCCATATCCTTGGCCACTACCTGTTTGCCCATACTCAGCTTCGAGCTCCACTTTCGGATCCACAAAGCTGGCTGCTTTTTTCGATGAGCCAATCATACAGTATAGTATACAGTAGACATTGACATAGATATCTCTTACAGAGAAATTGGAATTTCGTTGCCAAAATCACAAACACTAGACATGACGATCATAAAGGCAATAGCACTGTCAGTATCAGGCAACAAACAGATAAGAATGGTACTCATGATCATTAGAATAATGTTCATAATCATCAGAAAGGATAATGATGAACTAGTTACTACATTGGAGCTTCAGAAATTGCGTACATAGGTATTAGATAGTTAAAACACGTGTATGTCCGTACATCCATGCATGTTTGCATGCTCTGTATGCATGCATGGATGGGATTGGAGGGATGGAGTTCCACACCTATATTATATTCGTGACATCTTGCTGTCTATCTTACAACGAAACTCGAGATGCGTTTGTCGTTACTACAGGGATTTTGTTTTGCAGCTGATCACACTGAGGGCTTGGCACATGGCCCTGGCGCTCATGTCGGATGGCCCTTTCAGGACGCAACCTCAACTTTTTCAGTCTTCGGGTCTGCGGTTCTGTAGCGCTAACAGCTAGCACAGAGACGTAATTAGTGTCCGATTCGTGACCCCGCAACGGAGGGAACGTCTTCGATTCTGGGCCTGCCGCTAAAGCCAAGCGAAAAGTCGTTGAGTTGAAGGGCGAAGCAGCTTTTTTTTCTCTGTGCTACTACTTCTGCTACTACTACT